GTTTTTTTAGACGTAGAATGTTATGATTTATGAATATCATATTTCAAGATTCTGATTGCAAAATATATTTTAGGTTTTATATTATTTGTTTTGAAAATGTCCTGATAAAATTATTTTGTAAATCAAAGTCATCTAACTTATATTAATTAATATTATAATAGATTAGTTATTCATAAAATAACAAAATGGTTAAGATAAAATAATTAAATTATATGTAATTTGAATTAATTAGTTCCAGACCCCTGATTTCACTTTTCTCCCTCGCCGTCTTTTATAATTTTATAATTTCAGTTGTTTTCTGATTTTTTTATACTTATAGACACTTTAAACTTTTGGATTGTCGGATGCTTTTTAAATTATTTGCAATTTAATTACTGGCTGAAAATAGCGACATTTATAATATCGGATGCTAACTATTATATAGATTAATAGGGTACGATGATAAATCGATATTTCATGACAAAAAAATTTTAATCAATAAAAACGGATATTTAAATTTTAAAATATTTTTAAAAAAATTGGAGGGTTTTTTTTTGTATTTTGAATATAAAAAGGAGATTAATAAAAAAATTATATTTTTAAAATAGGGAAAAAATTATTAGAATTATTGTATTTTGTGTTAATAATTTGTCATTAAATTTTTAAAATTATTATTATTGTATTTTCGCTATATTTTTTTTAATTATCTAACACGTTTTTAAAAGCCCGATGAATGATTGATACTTAATTAAAAGAAATGTAATAAATAATAAAAAAGGTTTTTCAGATGAAATATTGGCACAAAATTAATTTTCTATTGTGTATTTAGAATGACAATGAATTTTGAAAAATAAAATTTATCATGAATCCTTGATATACTTTTGCATTGAATGAATTTTGTAATATTTTAAAATCTTTTTATTCTGTATTAAGGAGAATTATAACCCTGTTGAATTCGGTGATTAATTTAACTTATTACGGGTTCATTTAGGAATATTTTTAATGTTTTTTATGTGCTTTCCTTTTTTGATAAAATAATGCGAAGAATAGTTGAATGTCATGTCAAAAACTTTTTATGAGAACCCCATAATTTTCTTTAAAAAAACTTAGCTTTAAAGCATCTCAAAATAAAAAGAATAAAAAGTCACCTTTCTTGACCTAAACAATCTTGGGTGGCGATTGTATCTTATCTTCATTTATAAAATTGATTCGTTTTCCATTTTTAAATTAACAATTTTATTTCCTAACCCACCATCATTCCCCAATGAATAAGAGGTCTAAAGCTAATTATTTTTAATTAAAAAATGGCGCTTTTGAACATAAAATCTATGTAAATTTTTTAAACGTACCTAAATTTGTAAGTTTTTTTCATAAATATCATTTTAAACCAATAAAAATTATCCCACTTCAATATAATTTTTTTTTCAGAAAAGAAATATTTTAATAAAAAAAAACTTTAAAAGTAAAATTATTTAATAAAAAATATAACCCAGCCAAAGACTTGAATGTGCCTAAAGTCTTCCAATAAAATTTATGAGATAAATATTCTAGCGTTAACTGTATATGGACCTGTGGAATTTAAATTAACTTTACTATACATTCACAGGCGCGTAGCCCGGGTGGCAGGGGGCAAATCATCTCCACCCTGCATAATAAAAAAAAAGTGCAGATTATAAATTATTTTTTAAGAAATATAAAAAGCTTTCATGACAAGTAGGTTATATTCTATTTTAAATTTTTACAAAAATTTAAAATTAATTTAAATATTTCTTTCTTGTTTATTAATATTTTTTTCCTACGAAAATTTATAGTATATATTTTTACATTTTTTTAAAGCTTAAACACTGAAGGATATAAGAGATTTTATCAACCAAATACACCAAAAGTAAAACTTAATATAAAAACATATAAACCCAAACCCGATATTAGTTTCAAAAATTATAATAATTGATTCATCATCACAATCTTTAATTGCATTGTAATGTATTAATAAATAATTCCATTACACACAATTTTATTCAATTCAATAAAATGATATGGATGGCTGAGGTTATGTAAATCGCGAATATTATTTAAAACTTAGAAAACTAAGAGATAATATTGATCAAGAATTTCACGAGATTTATGTGATTGTTGAGGGGAAAGTTAAATTATATGATTTTGAGATACTCAAGCCTCTAATTGCACCTAGACAAACAAATCGTTCCAATATTAACGTGGACGACTCAATTGAAAATTATTATAAAATAATAAATATTTTGGACATATTTTTGGCTCAAATAAATGAAGGATTTAATATTTATCAAATGGCTCTATCCAATTAACAAATGCCATTACCTAGAAATCCTTCTAAGAATATATTAAATTATGGTAATTTAAATATTTAGTTTTTTATTCAAAGGACATAAATCTATATAATGGCCAATTAATTTTAGAGTCTAAATCTTGGCATGAAAAATTAAATTTCGTAGACAATCCTTTAGAAAAAACGGCATGAAAGTATTCCTTTAAAAAAATATATGCTTTTTTGTGATACTTCTATTATTTTAGATATGATAAATCAATTTATAGCATGCGTTTTTTTTAATTTTAAAAAACGTGTTTGTCGAAATCGTATTCAAGCATTTATAAAGTATTTTTGTTCTATGAATTTCGACAATTTTGCCATGAACAATTCCTTAATTTATACTAATTTTTAAGATAAATTAAGAAACGCACAACATTTAATAGAAATTCATAGGTATTCTTAAGCTAAGATACACTAGGCAAAATCAGGTATGTCTAAAAAACTTGCTATTAATATTCGGGTCATCTGAAACATTGTCGCTAAAACCCCCAGGACAAATATATCAAATATGTTAGCAAATTAGACTTATTTTCTATCACTTAGAGTCGCTAAACACCGCAAATATAAAGTATTAATAATAGCATAAAATTATGAGATTTTATTCAAAATAATATTATGTAAGCCTTGAGATTTTATTCACAGATGGCAGAAAGGTTTATACCTCTATTTGCCAAATTCCGAAGCTAGCATAATATTATTTTGGCTAAAATTATAATCGGGACTTTATTAAAACTCGACCCAAATAGGGCTTTTTAACAACACTAATCCAAGCAATAAATTTGCTGTTACTGGGATAGCTCAAAAATTTAAGATTAAAAAAATAATAGATTTAAACTTCTTATACTAACATGGTTATCATACCAATCCCTATAATAGGGATGCCATCAATAATTTTGTATATCTAATTATATCATAGGAATTATTGTCGACATCTATGCTAAAGTTTTAAGATCGATAATAAAATTTCAAATAAAGGAATAGAATTCATATATTTTGGACTTATTTTATATAGTTTCAAAAAAAAATTCACTATTTCCCTCATTATTTAATTTGCACTTTATATTTTATATTTTGAGAGGGGAATTATTTTTTTCTTTTGGTATTTACTATATTTAGCATTTAATGAGATCGAATTCAGTAAAGAGATGAATAAATAAATGATTGCTATATCTCTTCGCTTTATTTTTTATGGTAATTCGAATTCTTCAATTTTATTTTAAATGCAATATTAAATTTATTGATTTGAATTCTTTCGTAATATTTATTCCCGATATTTCTAAAAAAAATATTTCTAAAAATATTTTAATCTTTTTTTGTGTTTTGTAATATTATGTTTATACATAAAATAAAAGCATATTAATTTTTTTTAGTATAAAATTATTATTTTGTTGTAATCTAGGAAAGTGATCTATCCCTTTTTTTAAAAAAATATTTATTATATTAATTGAGATTTAGAAAGAAAAAAAATATATATTACATATTTTTTTTCAAACAAATATGTTCGGAAGATAGTCTTATATATTTTTTTTAAAAATTAAAATTTTATTCCATAGCATTTAAGAAACTAGAACTATTTGTATTTATAAAATTATGATGAAAAATCATGGGAAAAATTCCTTCTAATTTGAAATATATATCAGGTAAATTAAAAAAACACAACAATATATTATATTTTGGAATTATATTATGACATCTAATAATATAGACTATAAAATTCCCACTTCAGATATTCATTGGTTAAGTTTATTCAAAGATAATTGATTATTTTTATTCCATTTTGCTCCTTTTGAAAATAACTAAATAAATTTATTGGTCGAAAAAAATGACGAGGCACTAATTAATGCTTGTTTGAATTCATAGCTATCACGAAGAGGGGGAGAAATTTCGCTATTATTTAAATAAAAAAATTAAATTAGCAACTTCTTATAAAATATACATTATAATTTCAAAAAAAAATGCCTGTAAACGAGCCCAAACAAAAACAATGTCAGACACTTATCAACATTAAATCAGATCTATGTTATAAACATTTCATAAGGCTTATATTCCCAAGTACCTTCGGGGATTTTTGGAGCCGGAATTCACCATTTATCACATGTTCGGTACTTTTAATAGTTACCTTGACCTATGCCGTATCGTGCATCGATGCCATTCGAATCTTTAAAATCGCGAACAAGCCGATGTACGGCCGGAATAATATGTATTCTAATTCAAATATATACACAGACAAATTATTTTTAAAGAACTCACCTAAGATAGTTGTCCCTAGGCCAAACATAAATGCATATTATAACGATAAATTATATGTTACTGCCTCATTGTGGCCTTTTAATGATACAAACATGTCCGAAGATATTGAAGGCAATCACATAAAATCGTCGCCTTTATATATTAACACAATACTATCCTCCCTTAAATCCCATTTTGCTAGGATAACTTTTTGGGGGAGAGAAATGGTCAGAGAATCTGCTTTTAAGACGCAAGCGTTAGTAAATGCAAACACTACTAGTTCGTACTTCAAAATTGAAAATCGTATAACTTCAAAACATTCAGGCCGAATAAGTTTATTCAATAAAAATTCTACGCGTTCAGACATTCATCCCTTTTCTAAATCCAGGAGATATAAAAAAGATATTAGATCAAATTATCCATATCCAATTGTTCCTTATAGGCCTTACTTTACGAATTTCCCATATTTGATTTCAGCTACCTTATTTTCTAATTATAATGGGCAACTAGATGCACACAATTCGGCACATCTCAAAAGAGTAACCCGTAACAAATATTATTTTCAGAACAGAAATCGGAGACGGTCTCGACAAACCTCTCTGATTTTTAAAACCTCGCCACCCTCTCCAAAAATAAATTTACCATCTGTTATTCTTCCCCCTAAAAGCAATCTTCAACATAATATTGGATCACCTAAAAAAGATTCAATGATATCGCCCCTTTCTTCTGACCAACTTAAGGCTTCGGATGATGAGAAGGATTACAGTTACAATAAACCTAGCTTGGGAGATAATATGCATGTGATGGCCAATGCTTACCTCAATTTTACGTGGCCTAACAAGAAAGTCAGTCAAGCTGATGGAGACATTATGTTGGGTGGTCTGATGATGATTCACGAGAGGGAAGAACAATTAGTCTGTGGTTTAGTGATGCCACAGGGAGGGGTTCAGGCCTTAGAAGTTATGCTGTACACATTGGATTATGTAAATGAAAAGTCTAATTTGTTACCTGGCTTTAAACTAGGATACTACATTCTTGACGATTGCGATAAGGACACGTACGGGCTAGAACAATCGGTGGATTTTATTAAAGGTTTTGGTTTTATAAAAAATTATCTTTTGATGGTTGTATAAATAGTATTTCAGTATATTAAACATCCAAATTAATAGAGAAATGCAGATGACTTAATGATTATGTGAACATGTCAATTTATGCATACTATTAGTGTTAGATTTTAAAAGGTCTATAAGTTACATGTAGCCGTATCCGGTATTTCTTCTAGTGTTGTTAAACAGCTCGTTTTGAGCCGATTTTTAAAAACGGCTAACTCAATATTTTCGCCAGAAAAATATTGCCTAAGTCTCAAGATTTTGATAATATATGTCTAGATCTTTGTTCCTTCTATGAGCAGAATCTTCAGACTTACTTATTATTTTTCTGGATAAAATAATGAGTTAGCTGTTTTTAAAAATCGGCTCAAAACGAGCCGTTTAACAACACTCATTTCTACCAGGGAGAAGGGGGGGGGGGATGTATATTTCATTTATTTTTACATTATATTTATTTGGAATGCAAAAATTTTAAATCAATAACCTAAAGTATATAAGACATTGGATGAATGGGAAATAATTAAGAAAATATAAATAAATTAGGAATATTATAAACCAGCTGACTTTATCAATATTTTATAGTGCAAAAGTATCAAATTATACAGCACAGCACTAGTGAATGCAAGATTTTTGTAAAAGGAGGGGGGGTGGGTGGGTTAATTTTTTTGCCATAAATTTTATTTATCCTTTGAAGAACTTTGGTCTGATTAATGAAAGTCAACGATTCTGTCCTATCGAACATAAACCGGGATGGATGAATTAACCAATCTTTTTTCGAGACCGCAGTCCGGACATGTCTTTAAATTTTTATAGTCCGGACAATGGTAGGGCCGGTCTTTTATTAATATTTAAGATAGCCTTATTATTCAATTCATATAAATTTTATTTTATATTACTTTTCATATGACATATACTTTTTTGTAATATTTTCTTTTTTTAGTTCATTTTTATTTTGTTATATACTATAAAACGCAATGTTTGTCAAAAAGAAATTTTACCGTCTGTGCATATTTCAGACCAAAGACCGGACCGTGACCTTCCCTAGGGATTACATTTTAAAATTTTCTAAAATTTCTGATATGGTCATTATTTAAAAATAATTATTAAACTTATACATTTTTTATAAAATATGTTTTATAATGATATATTGTATTTATTTTATGGGAGAAAGTGAAAGTGGAGGGGGGAAGAATTTTTTATTTAAAGTGACATTCACGGAAACGTACAAATAAAGGGAAGGGAGATGTTTCACGCCCCTCCCCTTGGTTACGCTAAGTGGCGTGACTAGCCTTTACAATCTTAGGGGCTCAAAAAATTTTTTTTTAATTATCTGATTTTTTTAGCTAATAATTTTAAAATTATCTCTTTTTTTAAGTTATTTTAAAAATATTTAATTTCCAGGGAGCTCTTTAAATTTTTTAGGTTGCTCGAGCCCCTGCTCTCACCCTCCCTACTGACGGTAATGCTTACATGATCTACAATATATTAACAATCAACGCACATATCAATATAGATATTTATAGATCGATAATTTTAGAAGTATAAATATATATATTTATAAGGAGTTTCATATGCTAAATAATACTGTTGAAAATTCAAGAGCTATTTGCAACAATATTTACATTTTTTAATCAAATAAATAGAGGACTATTATAATATATTAATATTTTTACACTATTAGAAAAAGATTTGAGGGTATATTCATTTGTAAATTTAAGTTATGGCATAATAAATTGTTGCATTCACCCCTTTTGAGTTTGATTTCTTTCTTATAAGTAAATATAAATTGAATATCTAGATATTTAAGATTTTTTATTATCTCTTCTAATATTATTTTAATATTTTATCTCTTTTAGTTATCTTCGGTAGTATTTCTTTATGTTATTTTATTTATAAATAATCGGCTATCTATTGTTCAATATTGATGATTAAGATAGAAAACTACCAATAACGAGTATATTTGTCTTATCTAATATATATAATCTCCATAATCAAAACATGATCGTTTTTCATATCTTCCTAATGTATTTAAAATTTAAGGAGACTATATAGTGTAATGTTATTTTATTGCTCTCTACGAGAGTTGAACCAGAAACCTCCCGTTTCAAAGTCGTATGTTTTAAGCTTGTACCAACTTGAATATAATTAAATTTAAAATAATAATGAATTAATAGCTGATATTTTTAAAATCTTGCCGTTTATTACCATACTAGCTGACGGGATTGAAGGGTAATTATTTAGTTTGTGAGTATGGTACTAAAAATACTTTATTAATAAATTTTATATAAGGAGAAAAAGAGGTAAAATTGTTGCAATGTATACCGTGATGTATTAGAAATATCAAAATTTAAATTTGTGATGGAAATCGTATTGGATAAAATTTAAAATAGAGATGCTTTAAGATCTTTGAATTTTAAATATGGGTTATACATTGGCCTGAAAATTTTTTTTTGAAGACATAGCCAGGCCTGATCAAAAAACCAAGTTCCATGCAACTTTTGCCATTTATTTTTATTGTAATTTAATAAAAATGTCTTAAATTTAATTTTATGTTTAGAATAAAATTTAGATTTGTGATAGAAATCATATTGTGTAAAATATAAAATAGAAATGCTTGTAAATTTTTTAATTTTATATGGGCTAGATATTGGCCTAAGAAATTTTTTTTGCAGAAATCGCCAGGCCTGATTAAAAAACCAACCCATGCAAATTTCATATCCGGATTTTATTTTTAAATGAATTATGACTTTTATATATTTTATTTCAGTTCTCAACTAACAAAATTATTATGGTCTTTGGAGGGTTTGAGAAAATTTTCCCAACAATATGGTTTTCAGAGATTTACCTATCTCCAGGCTTGGGAAAAAATTACTAAATTATTATGGATTGGCCAGGTTTGAAAAAAATTTCAATCCAATGTCTGGTCCATATTTAAAATTAAGAAATTTTCAAGCATATCTATTTTAAATTTTACCCAATATGATTTCTATCACAAATTTAAATTTTATTCTAAATAAAATTAAATTTAAGACATTATTATTAAATTACAATAGAAATAAATGGCAAAATTTTGGGAAAGTTGCATGGGACGTGGTTTTTTGATCAGGCCTAGCTGTGTCTGCAAAACAAAATTTTGAGGCCAATATCTAGTCCATATTTAAAATTGAAAAATTTTGAAGCATCTCTATTTTTAATTTTACCCAATATGATTTATATCACAAATTTAAATTTTTTGATATTTCTAATACACTTAATGCTCACGGGTTACATTGCAACAATTTTACCTCTTTTTCTCCTAAATTTTAAAGCGTATATAGTATACCACACAGATCAACTAAAATACCCCTCAACCCCGTCTTTTTGACGGGTTATTAACTAGTAATTTATAATAGGTTTGTAATTGTCATCATCTTTTCTCGGCTGTTTAGTTTAGTCAAATATTTTGATCGAAGTTTTAAACCTCTAACTCAACCCCCAAGTACGAGAGTATTTTGTAACGAGTTCATTTTTGCATAAATTCCTATAGTTTAAGATTTTATAGTGCTATTGTATCTATATTATAGAGTAACGCTAACTCTAAGTTGGAGGGAAGGAGGGGTAAATAATTAGACATATATGATCTTTGAATATATAGATTATATAGTAATCGATCATCCTTTTTTAGGATCATGTAGAATTATCTTTTCACTTTAGCTATTCTTCTGCTTATATGCTAGTTAATATACCTATGTACTTGCAATATGTCTATAATATGTAGCACGTTATTTAATTTTCTGATATTAATATAAATGATTGTTTATAATATTATAAAATCAAATGTAACTATCTCAGAATATATATTATAAGTATTTCTGCAAAAAACCACCATTTCGAGTAATCTATTTAAGAAATTTACGACCATTAATTTTCACATATTTTTTATTTTTTAAATTAAAAGAGCATAATTAATCCTTTGGGAAGTAAATTGAAGTTTTTATTATCAAAAATTAAATTATTTTTTTTTATCAAATAAAATTTCTTATTACATTTTTTTGGTATATCAGTAAAAGATATTTGGATTGAAATTTTTTTCAATATATTATTGTCCATCAGAGATCTGCAAAGCCCGTTCTTTTACGATATTTTGCACAAGTTTCCCAGCCCGTTATCTAAATATTTGTCTGCCCTGATAATTTTTTAATCATTTTTCGACCTGGCTTGACCCGTTATTACGAAGATTCAGGCCTAGCTAGCTCGGACCGTTTAATTTTTTTAGACTAATTTTTCAGCCAACATATTCTTAATGTCTTTATATATCCGATTTTTCTCAATATCAAATGCACCTCTCTATCTCTACTCTATGACTATCTATTCCTAACCGTTTTATATATCAATTGTATACCACATCATAAATAACTTGTTTAATATTTTGTGATTTACTATTTTATTTATAGATTATGCTATCTAATTCAATAACAACCATTTTATAAATCAATTGTGCTTATCATATTATAAATAACTTGTTTTATATTTTCTGAATTTACTATTTTATTTATAGATTTAGTATTTTAGTCAGACAGCTCTTAAAATATAAAAAAAAAATTAGCAAATAGTATTAATAAAAATCCTTCTATATCAGGGTTGTGCGTTTGACCAGTCAAATCGGTCAATTGACCGGTATTTCTCCGGTCAAATATGGTCAATACGGTCAAATTTGGTCAAATTCGAATAAATATTTTTTAAGACAATATTAACTTTATTTTGTATATTGAATCTGTAATATAAATTTTATAATCCTTTTTTAAATTCATTGTTATTTTATAAATATTCAGCTCTTTTAAGCAGAGTCTTGTTCTTGTTCTTATTCATATTCAATATTATCATTTTCTTTAATATTTTTTAATCAATTTTCCTGTTGTCGAGGTTTTAAATCGATTTCCTTTTTTCGTGTGAATATTAATCCAGATCGACCATCTGAAGAAGAAGTAGAACTATGAATTGTTA